TTTTTTTTTTTTTTGTTTGTTTTTTTTGGTACCAGGGATTGAACATGGATCCTTGTGCTTGGGAGGCAGGCAGCAGAACCACTGAGCTAAATCCCTGGCCCCGGTTTAAGTGTTTTTAATGTATCTGTCGAATGGTGGTATCAGGCCACCCAACAGCAAAGCACACTTGTGGCTGTTTTCAGCTCTGAGTCAATATGGTTTAAGTCCAATGAAGCTGAGACCCAACTGGTCCTATCTCGAAATTTAGGAACCATGAAATTAACATTAGTTCTGAGGAGCACTTCCTAAATGTCCTTACTTTTTCCTATTTGCTTTTCTCATACTTTCCACTTAACATTGCACTGATCTTTTTCAAAGCACCTACTCCTCCCTGGAGCTGCCTGCTTTGCCCCTCCCCTCCCCATCTTCCCAAGCAGGGTCTGTGCAAATCTGAAGCTTGTGGAAAGAGCCTTTCCTGGAGAAAGAGGGTTCAGGAGAGATGGAGCTCAGGGAGAGGGAAGTCTAAGAGAATTGGGTGCTATTTCATATCCCAAGATATTATGCAACTATGCTATTTTATACACACCAGCACTAATGCAATAGCACTTTGTAGGTGATGAAGAAAAAAGAGGAAGAGGTAATGTTAGAAACATGTACCACAAAAATAAAATAAAATTTGAAATTCCAGAAGTAATGAACTCTTAAACTCATATATCCTCATTTATTTAAAATTCTGAAGATACAAAAGTGAATACTACATTATGAATGAATCATAATTTAGTTGAGTAGTCCTCTTTAATAGACACTTAAATCAACTCCAATCTTTTTATATTACAAAACATGTAAAAGAAATGAATATTCAAAAGTGAATAATTTTGTACATAGAATTTTCCATGCAAATGGGATTATATCAGAATGATGGGACCCTGTGAAAAATGCTGGATGAAAGAGTATGTGCATTTAAAATTCTGCTCAATGTTGCCAAATTGCCTTATACGGAAATCATATCATCCTGCTGAAATTTGGAAAATGTTCTAACACCCTCTATTCAGCATGCTGTATTCATAAGTTTTAAATAAGATTTTTTTAAGTTTGCCAATCTAATATATAATGTGGTATCTTTATTCTGTTTTTATTTGTTTTATTATTAGAAAGTGAAGTACCTTTCTTACATTTAAGAACTCTTTTCATCTTTTGAAATATAAATTGCCTTTTCATATTAGCTGTCCTTTTTCCTGCTGGATTGTCCTAAGATAGTCATACATTAATTTGTAGAAATTTTTATATTTTAGAAAATAATTTATTATTATACATTGAAAATCTCTTTTCCAGGTCGATGCATTTTTTAGCATTGCTTATGGAGATTTTTGTCATGTTGAATGTATTTTTAGAGTAATCTAATATCATATTTTTCTATTATATCTTCAGACTTTAGTGTCATTTTTAGGCCTTTTCTGCTCTTAGCATTACTAAATATTTTTCATTTTTCTTTAATGCTTTTAAATTTTATTTTATTTGTATTAAAATCTTTGAACATTATGGATTCATCCGACAAATAAGGATCCAACTGATTTCTTCTTTTTCAGTGTGTGTGTTTGTGTGTGCACACATGCACGCCCATGTGTACATGTGTGTACTGGGGCTTGAACCCATGGTGGCATGTATGTTAACATGTATTAAGCATGCTACATATGTTAAACATGTGTTGAGCCATATCCTCATCTCCAATCAATTTTTTCCTAACATTGATTTAACCAATATCATTTATTAACAAATGCATATCTTTTACGACTTTGAAATTCT